AATTATCTTGCAAATTATTTTGCAGTGAAGGCAGTTTTCTTGTGTATATGTTGAATGCTCATGTTAGATGTTGGAAATGTTTAGACAAGAAAAGAAGCCAACATCAATAGTGAAAGAATTGTCTTTGTGTTCACTCTGATATCCTGAGGTGCCATAAGATGCTAGAAAAGCAATACACAATATAGTGGAAAGCAGTATACAGTGAACATAGTTGTTTGCCTTGTCTGCCTCATCATTTGTCTGTAGTAAGACTTTACTTCAACTCCTCTCTGTTTATCAAATAAATGACTGTTATGTACAAGCCAGCATTCAGACTAAAATTGGGAAGGAGGTATAAACCTTTCCTCACCTCAGGGTTGCAGAGAATCTAGCAATTGGTATTGATAGCTAAGCTATCAAGTTGCCTTTGAATTTAAAACAGAGTAAAGTCACATACCAAATACTACTTCCTTTGTAAGAATGATTAGTTATAAAGCCACTAAATACAGGCTACAAATTGGCAGCTGAAAGTTTATTTTTCTTGGCTGAATAGTAAGGATATTTTCAGTCTCATACCTCTCTGCTTAGCTAAACCATATAAATAGTGGTTAAATTCCTTCATATTCAGTCAAGTAGCTGCCCCTTAGAATTAGTAACAATCTTGAAAAATGTGCTATATTTCTGTGTTTTAGATCTGGAATGAAGCCTTGCCAGAAATGCACCTCCTCAATATATATATATATTTTTTTATAACCCAAATGACAGTTAAGAGATAAAAACTAATTGTCCCAGCAATACAGATTACAGCCTTTGAGCCCAAAATAATCTAGAACTAGTGGGGTGCAAACTGACCCTGCCAAAAGAAAGTGCTGTAGTGAAGAGCACAAGAGAAAGTAATGTGGGGAAACACAGTTCTTAATGTATTGTATTGGAACATCAAATAGTATATTTGAATATCACAACTTTGTGACTGTATTAGCGGAGGGTGATTGGATTAAAGCCTGGATTGTTCTGTCTGTGCTTAAGGACTTCTGCCCGTCCCTACAAGCACTGCTCTTTCTGAGTTTGGTCTGAGGATTTCACATTCCGGATATATAGATTTCCTGTCATGCTTATTATCACAGCTGTATTACAAGCAGTTAACTTACATGGCAAGAATTGCAAAGGACATCTTGATCAATCATCAAGATCAGATTAGACAAGAAAAAACAAACCCTGAACTAGATGCTAGAGGAACTTTTGGTAATATACATAGAGGAAATTATGTTACTTAGAAAACATGACATTAAGTAGATCTGTTAAGAGAGTCTGAAGCAGTTTCTGGCAGCATTTTATGATGTGGCAGTTCTAGACAACCTTTTAATTGGTTATATTTCTATCTTCTGCTTGAAAACATGTTTTCTGAAAAGATACTTAATGAACTGAGAAGCCAGTTACTATTTTTGAAAGGGTATTTGGCAGATGATTATAAAGTCCTGCAGAGGTTAATTGCCAGTGCATTATCTTAGGCTGTATTCCAGAGAATTCAAGAAGCTGTTCAGAAACAAGAATGGAAGTTGAAAAATGGCATTCGTTCCCTTGCATTGCAGAGCAGCAGCAATAAATTACAAAGTCATGCATACAGTCTACAGAGGTTTGTTTCCTACTCCATATAACTGGAATAAGTTATTTTATTAAGTTGTAGGAGGGTAAATATGTTGATTATTACATTGATGATTACAGTCCTCTTTATTCCACTTTATATTTTGAGAAAGTCTTCATACTGTCAAAGTGTGGTTATTAGCATGGGCTTTTGCATGGATACAAATCTGCTAACTATATAGAGACATTTGAGGTAAAAGTTGTTTCTTTTCATTAATTTTTGCGTGCATATTAATACATGTCAGTATCTATACAGCCCCATGTTCAGTGATATCTATAAAATTGATAAAATTTTGGAGACTTTATTTTAGGCCATGTGCAGGTAGCAAGAGGTCAGTTGTAGATCTAGTGGTCACCATTAGTCCTCCATTATGACAGTGAATTTGAGGACCACCAATGATTCTCTAAAGGATGTTAATAGTTCCATGTTCATAGGTTTTGTTTTTTTTTTTAAGAGAATTTTGAAACTTGGATGCTCCACAAGAGTTACTGCAGGCTAACATTACTTCTCAAGGATGGTTCTTGTCTAGTAATTATTTTTCTGCTTTTCAGGAAGAGAGTTGCATGATAGTAGCAGAAAACCATTTATGATAATTAGCTTACTTTCTCCTCTCGTGTGTTAGCACCAATAAAATCAATTATTTTCTGATTGCTTACTGACTCTTTGTTTAACAGACTTTTATTATAATTTTTTATTCTTTTAAGGTTTTTCTAAAGAAAAATAAAGTATGATGTGTGGTATAGTGATACTATACTGTACTTGGAAAAGCTTCATTTCTCACCATCAAAACATTTCAATTGACTGTGAAGGCTTAACATGATGCTAATTTCTTCATCACATAATTAAATTATCTCAACTCTGCCAGCAAGGTGTCTATGGCTCTGCTGCCTTCCTCAGTACTTGCCCTTGGCCTGGGATAATGAACAAGTTTTTCAGCTTTTGTTTTACCTGGATTTCAATAAAGTCTTGCACGCTTTTGTGATTAGACTTCTCCATTAAGAGTATATATTCAAGGAACGTGTTTTCACCAGATTCAATACTATGTTAGGAATAAAGTTAAACTCTACTTTTTCTGAGCCATGTTTGTCTATTTACAGTACAGTGTGTGTTAATGAGGGTTATTCCAAGGTATCACTGCCTAACAGCAAGCAGCCCAGAGGCAAATTCCAGATCCCAGTGTTGAGAACTGATTTATTGCCTGCCTGCAATTAACAATTGGGCTTAAGGGTCTGGACAGAAAAGTAAAATAAGACTCTTTCAGCTCATATGTTGAATACAGCCTTGTTGACCTTTTCCATTTAAGATGAAACTAAAAGATGAGGTATCACAGATTTATTATGCAGCACTTACTTCACAGTGTATGGGGGAAGAGAACAGTGATATTTAAATTTACTTAAAGGCTTTACATTGGTTACACATCAAAGAATGAGAGTGGGAGACGTTTGGTAGGGAAAACAGACAATGAAATATGTCCAGCACTGAAGTTCATATGTTTTTAACTTCTTCCCTCAGGGTAAAAAAAAATAAAAAATAATAAAAAATCACTGTATATTTAAATAAACTTTACCATCTTTCTTTGATTATTTGAACCTGTGGGAGCTAGTGTCAAAACTGCTTTGCTTGTGTCTCCATTTGTTTATGTTAATATGTATTTTCTGGAGGGAGGGGGAGAGAACGAAAGAAGAAAACTTGTCATAGCATAGTTCATGAAATACAGCTATTCTGAAGAGGAAAGGCATCTTCTGCTACTAAAAACTTTATTGCTGATCCCAAACAGTATTCATGTTCCAGGAAACGGGGTAAAAACATTTTCCACAGGAAACCTTCCTTGGTAGATCTGCTTTGTTTAATCAAAAAAGCCAATGCTCTTGGCTGGCTCTCAAGACAAACATTGTGGTATCCCATTGAGCTAGCTGCAGGAACATGCTTATATTCCTCTGGTGAAGGCTGTTACATGTCTTGACCTAAATACTATGGAGTAAAATTGTGACTTGATTAGAAGCTGATAGGTTTTGTTTAAGGGGTTTTCCTGAGATATAGCAGTCCACTCTGTAGCTTTTGGACAGGTATCTGTCAAGTTACAGTACAGAATAAGAGATTTTTGTCTCTTGGCTAGCTGCAGTGATGGCATTTAATTTGGAACTCCTTATGGAGGACTTTTCTCCTACCATCTGTAGATGCTTGAATATGTTAACTCACAAAATGGTATTATGTTTAGCACCCAGTATGTATCTTTCAGTCTTTCTTTGATACTACTGTTTCAACTGTACATGTTCTCTCTTTCATTAAATAGCTAAAGTTCAAGTGGTTTAAAACTTATTTTTTCTTACATGAAAATAGCGTTATTCACATACCAGAAAGCTAAGTAATGTCTGGGATTTATTAAATCATTCAGCAAAGTTGACCACAGACAGTTGCATATAGAACAAATGCTGGAAGAAAAATAATCTCATGTTGGCAATGTTCATAATACTATAACACACACACAGACAGAAAACCAAACACTTGGTATTGTTTCTGTTTATGCATTGCTATTTCTTTTTAGACCTTTAACTAGCTTGACATTTTTAGGTATAGAGGATTTGATCAGAGAGGAAATATGTAAGCTTAAGTCATAGAGATGATGCAAAAACGTTAACTTTCATATTATGTTGATGTCATGGTACAGTGGTTATGGGTTATATCAAGGTATATCTTTATTTACTTGATATGATATTAATTAATAGATACATTTTATTGCTAACTTTATGTAATTCTGTACTTCTTAAAATCTTGCATTTCAAGTGTATTTACAAAATTTTGTTGCTGCAGTGTTCAGAAAAACAGCATTATTGATGTTGGAACTTTGGTTGTTTTTTGTATCTGTTCCTAGTATTCCACATACCTGTGAGCTTTGCCACCTTGTCTGATCAGTTCTTTGCACATAAAATGCTAGTTGCGAAACAGCAGAAATATTAACATGAGCATTACTCATCAGACAGTACTAACATAAGACATAAGAAGTAACTGAACAACGTTCTTGAGAGTTTCATGCTCTTACAATTTTCTGAACATTAAACTCATTTTTAAATCACAAACAGTATCCAAAATTTGAGCAAAGGCAATGGAAGCCGTTACTTGTTGTGTAAGACTATAACCTGTAACATATGCATTATTTACTCTCATGAGTAAAAGAGCATCAAATACAATAACTGAAAATTATTTCTGCTACAACGCATCATTGTTTTTTGTTTATATTGAGTTACAACCCAGGGAAATCTTTAAACTTTGTTTTGCCTTTTTTAAATTCTATTGTTTGCACATGAAAGGATATTTGTTGTGCAGATTAAGTGGTTTGTGACTAGGGTTGGCTAATATATTATTTTGTTTTAATTTTTAGAGGACTGTGGGACATATTTCCCAGAAGTGAAAAATCATCCAGAAAAATACTTACGAAGATGTCCCAATTCTGTAAAAAAGTGGCTGAAACAACTGAAGAGTGCTGGGAAGATTCTGCTATTAATTACCAGTTCTCACAGTGACTATTGCAGGCTCCTGTGTGAATATATTCTTGGGTAAGTGCAGTGTCCATTTCAAATAATATTTCCAGATGCCAAATGGAAATAAGCCTGAGCTACAGGAAGGTTAATTTTCCTTTCTTTATTTGTTATAAATTATTTTTATCTTAAGTTTCTGGTAGGTCTATCTCTAGTAGCAAGGTACTCAAGACAAAGTAGTTCATTTATTAGTTTGTGAGCTTCATCTGGCCCACAGCATAAATATCTTTCATCTTTTCTGGGCATCATGATGGATTTAAAGACATAAAGAAATATCTTCAGGCCAACACCTAATGGAAGGCAACATCTGAATGCCATCCATTTTTACAACGTTATCTCTGCCTCTCTCATCATAAGTGCCAGCAGTAGTTATATTTCTCTTCTTTTCACATTAAATCTGCACAGAAAAACTACAAATACTTCTTCCTCATAATAGCTTCCACAAGATGTCTGTGCATGAAGAATGTGCATTTGCAGATCACAGCGGAAAAGATAACACAGGTAGTTGATTGCACTTGGCAGTCAGTTGAGATTTGCAGCTGCTGACAATAGCTATTTTTTACCTGTATTTTTTTTAACACAACTGATCAAGTCACATTCAGTGAAATGAAGCAGAACTTACACCTCCAGAAAGGAATTAATCAGTGATGCTAGTGGTTAGGCAGGTGACATGGTGAAACTAGTGAATCGAAGAAACAAAAGTAGTACAATGTGAGCCAATCTTGACTATCTGGATATGCAAGGAAGCAGCAAAGTGAATACAGCAGCACAGTTTAAAAAAAAAACACAGGTAAACTGGAAACCAGAGCAACCTCCCAAAACCAGTCCCACCAGTATCACTTGTCTATTGCTCTCTATGGGCTAAATGAAGCATCAGCTGTACCAGTTCTCACTGCTTTGTATGAATATTGTGCATTGTCATCTGATGAGGTAAACCCACCTCCTTGCAAAAAAAAAAAAAAAAAATTCTTCTATTGAGAAAGTTGTTTGTGAATTAACTTTTTAATGTAGATCTGTCTAGTGGTTTTCTGAACGAAAATTTGGTATAAAACTAAAATCATTAGCTACATATAATGATTTTGGCTTTTTTCCTTGGTGAAATATGTTTCAGCAGTTTTCACAGAATCAAAGGGGTTGGAAGGAACCTCTGGAAATCATCCAGACCAATCCCCTACCCACTAAAACAGATTCTCTACAGTAGGTCACACAAGAAGGCATCCAGGCAGGTTGTTAATATCTCCAGAGAAGGAGACTCTGCAGACACTCTGGGTAGCCTGTTCCAGTGCTCTGAAGGCAGCAGTAGAGATCCTACTTGAAAGATGATAGAGAAGATTGGCTGCCTCTCAAAAGACGGAAGAGATACTCTGCTAGAAGAATATTGGATCACTTTGTCTCTTATGAGTATATGATATTCTAAAATCATCTTTTCCAGTGACTGATCAAAACTGGCTTCACAGACATCTTCTGGAGTAATAAGTACTTCACTGTCCATTAGATCTTACTGAAGTATTTTTTTGTCTTGAAAGTAATTCTGAACATTCTGTTACTCTTATTTACTCCATGCCTCCTGTATCAAATGATGAATCTCTACTTTCACTAGCTGCTTTTTGTACCACTAGAATACAGTCTAGGTTCATATATACTATCTGTTCTCTTAACCTTAATTTTGCCAGGTTAACTGCATTTTATTTTTTTACATCAACCCTTGTGAATTGCTTCATTTTCCTTTTTTTAATATTTCTTTTCAGTTAATTAATAGTACATTTAAAAAAAAAAAGATAAAAAGTGGAGATGTGTGAAGTTTTCACCACTTAACAGTTCCAAGATAAGGATATTATTTTTAATTTATTTGCAGTTTCTTGAAAAAGTTCCCCTTTTGCAAAGAAATTGCTATCCACCTAAAATCAGCAGTGAGAATTTAATAATAATTAAATAATAATTATTTAAATATTTAGTAAATATTTAAATAATTTAATAATAAATAATAATAATTACACTTTTCTATACAGAAAAAAAAAAAAACACAACAGAAGAGGATGCTTTAGTGAAGTTGTTGTACTAGTTTGTCAAATCCTGAAGTGTGAACACTGAATTTAATTTCCTTTGCTTTCCAGAAATGATTTTGAAGAATATTTTGATGTTGTGATCACAAATGCTTTGAAACCTGGCTTTTTCTCCCATACTCCAAACCAAAGACCTTTCCGAACTCTTGGTAAGTTGCAGCCATGACTTCCTTCTCACCTTCTTACATCTGTTATAAAGAAAAAAATATGAGAGGACTGAACCAAACAAATAGTCTGAACAACATATTTTGAAAATGTAGCTTAATACATAAAATGGATTCTACACAAGACTCTTCTAAAGATATTAGTAAAAAATTCTGTTGAGACTGAGGAGCGCTGAGAAATTAAGATTTAGAGTGAAAAGGCAAATCTGTGACAGCAATTACAAATGGTATTGATGCTCAGATAGTGCATCATTAATAAAAAACTAAGAATCTTATTCTTTGCTGAGCATAATATAACAGAAATATTTAAAGATTTAAGAATGGTACAAATAAAATTGCAAGGTTAAAGGAAATTATTTATGATGGAAATCTGACAGTATTAAATGTGTGTACTTTGGTTAAATCACAACACAGTAGGCAAATGGAAGTGCTACTGTACTCAATTCAGTCAAAACGTTCTGAAACATTTAGCACTTTTGACAACCTAATTAAAAGCCATTAGGTAATTAAGGTTGTAAAAAAAAGTTTGACAAACAGTGTTTGTAAGTAAGAACAGAAACATGGCTGAAGCCAGTTAATTTTTCCATATTCTCTTCAACATCAAAATGATTAAAAGCTGCTTAAGAATTAACCTTTGTATCCAAAATAGGATACACCAGCATACATTTTAGCATTTTATGACAGGAAAATCAGCTGTTGTAGACCAAAAGAAAAACTGACTGTGGAACTTTTATGGTAAAACTAAAACTAGCAGTGGAAATATATGTTAAAGCTGCATTTTAATGTTTCTTCTATCCACATAGGAAAGTTAGTAATAAAGATGTTAAATGAAATCTTTAAAGGTTTAATACAACCAGGAAATTGCAAGTTGACAATTCTAGAAAAAATATACTTAGAGAACTATTACTATGGAATGGGGAAAATAAAAAAAAAATATAAAGGGTAAAAAAAGCTCATTTCTGTAAACATTTTATTTAACTTCATATAATGCAAACTGAAAATAAAATATAATCCACTTTGGATATTTTAAACAATCTTATTAGCCTCATTTCCTAAGGAAGTCCTGCTGTGTCGCTGTCGGTAATCCAGCTAGCAACGTTTGAACCTTTTCAGTAAATTCAACAGACAGGCAAAAAATTTTTCTTTGCAACAAGGTCAGAAGAGGGGAAAAAGACTTTGCATTACTGTCTCCTTTGAGAAATATTGTGTAGAATTAGCTTAATCACATTGTGTGACTGTAAGTACCAATTTTCATGAAGCTATTTCTTTCTCCTGCATTCAGACAGAAGTAGCATTCCCTGGAACCCTCTTGCTGACTCACTAGTTTTCATTCACTATGTTCTGGCATTGCAAAGATGCTCAAGTGAGGCTCACTCATTAAAATGTATCACTATACTAATAGATAAGTGGCACAAAGGTATATAAAGCCATCAGATAAATAATAAGCTGTGAGTGGACTTATTTTTAATAAATTTGTATTTTATGGACAGTAAATGGCTTCTTCTGAAAAATGAACCTGAGCATTTAAAGCAAAGTATTATACTTTAGAACAAGCTTTTAGAGACACGGTTTAAAACAGCAGAATGCTTGTTTAAGACAACGTGAAATTTAATGAATAGAATAATTATGTGAGGAAATGTCCAAAATAATAATACACTTTTATAATGTATCTTTTGCTGCCCTCCTTTTGTGTTCCTCACAATAAACATACAGCTTCAGGGCAGCACTGATAATTTCACCCCTTTGATTTGCCCATCTATTACAAGGTCAAATGTTATAAATGTACTTAAGGCAAAAAATATGGAATGTGTTTTTTAATTTCAAACACTTCAAGTGTTGCATTGTGAACTGGAGATGAATTTCATTCATCCATCAAAGGATTTTTGCTGCAGATTTATTAAGAGGAAGTCTTTGAAGCTTACAGAAGAGAGTAAATTCTTTGCTGTGAATGATTTCAAACAGGTGACTGTGTTCAGTAAACATTTGAAGGAGGACAAGAAGCCGGACAATGTGACAAAGAAGTCATTGTCTAGAGATGTGAGATCGGATAACTGTTGCACAGAAACGTTGTTGTTGTTGTTGTTTTTCAGTTGGCAAATCATTTTAAAACTAATCCGTTTAGAACAACGAAAATGATTTTAACTGTGCAATTAAAAATGCATCATTACTTCATCTGAGTTTCAAGACACACCATTTTAAGAAACCGAAACACAGTTTGAAGTCTTAAAAAAATCATGTGACTACTTTTTGTTAAAGCGAGGCACTGAAAAGCACAGTATTTCATTATTTGTTTAGCATAGTTATCTTTCACTGCACCATTCTGTTAAATGAAGGAACAGCTTATACATATCTTTCTAGCTTTCTTAACAGCTACATTTAGTTTTTCCTGGAAAAACAGTTTTTATACTTAGGTGTGTCTTAAGCACATAGTTTGTGAGAACAGTATTATGTAAATAAATTGTTCCCATAATGCAAATACTCCATAATTTATCCGAGGTACTTGTTATTCAGAAGATTGCTTTTTTCTTCTACAGAGAGAAATTATTTAATTGAGTCATGGAAGTACTAATAACATCTTGAGCTATTAAATCTGAGAATCTGGTTGATAATGTTTGTGTAAATCCCACACTGAGAGTGCAGAACTTTCTATCTTTACTTTCAATTACTATATCTGTCTTAAAAATAATATAAAATTCCATGGTGGGCTTGAAGGAATACAAATAGCAAATATAGCTGTGGATCATCTGAGATACTGCAAAACATCAAGATTTCTGTAACGTTTGACAGCAGAGCTTTCTGTTTATCGCTTGCTAACGAATGTTAAATTACTGTCCTGATGGCCAGTTCTGATATTGCCAGATATATTGTTTGGAATGCAGAGTTAAAATGGAAATGCTAAAGATAGCCCTAACTTCACTGAAAACCTTCCTTAAGTATGTAAGTACAGGGTGTTCTCACTTGATCCTGAATAGAATGTTTATATTCTTTATTTCCAGCTCAGAAACAGTTACTGTCTTTTGGTCAGGTTTTTTGATCAGCTAAGGTTGTGTTGCTGGTATTGTTATATGTTCAGTGTTTGACTGTACAATGAATATTTTGGAGTGTATTTGACGATATATCTTCATATGCATATGTGCACAAACATGCTAGGCCAAAAAAAATCCTGCATATGGAGTAGCAGTGGTTGCAATATATTTTTGAGGTTGTGTGCCTTTCTCCAGTGCCCAGAGAAGCAAACCAGCTCTCCTCCTTCCTGCAGGGAGTCTTAGGTTTTCATAGCCCACTTTCAGTTACAGTTCTAACCTGGCTACCTTATTCCTGCACTTGAATTCCTGTCCTGCTTATGTTCCTTCTTGTACATGATGTAGCCCCCAATTTAGCAAAGTCTGTTAGTCCTCTATTTTTTTCCAATTCTCTTGTTTGTAACTGCCATTTTAACAATTTAGCTGTTTCCTTCAGTAATTCTTCTCAATCCTTCTAAAAATATAGGAAAATGCTAAGAACTGAAAAGATAAATTAGAAAAAAAAAATAAGGGGCAGGATATAAAATGGCATACTTGTAGGGTGAAGACAGTCTAATTATTATGGCCTGCAAGACTTCATAAGAAATACATGGTTCCATGTCTGCATTTTAAGCTTTCTTCTGCAACATCTGGGCTTGATTACTGCCAAAGGTGGGATGCAGAAGTGGGTGGAGAGTCAGGATTGAGCCTGTACAGCTATTTTTATGTATTTATATTGCAAGGCATTTCAGGCCCGAGTAGCGGAATCTGGAAGGAAGTGGCTTAATTTCCCTGGATGTTAAATGTGTAAGCCATATTATTTTTCATGTCATTCTTTTTATTTGAGGCTTCTTTCTTTAAAGGCAGGGGAATAGCAAAATACTACCCAGTAAATAATTTTCAGTACTTTTAGTAAAACTAAATTAAACCATTAAAAATGTGTAAATTTTGAAACAGATGGTATTGCACCTTTATAAAGGAATATAGCTTTCAAATATTCTAGCATCATTCACTTACATAGTTCATGAAAGTAATAAAATTCTTTTAATGCAGGTCTCATTTAGAAGTTCTATGTAGTGCATTGCCACTGTTCACCACATATTTTCTGGGTATTTTGTAAAGGAAAAGGGCACTTGTAACTGACTTATAACCTATTTTTAAACTCTGATTTTCAAATTTAGATCTTTTTATACCTTTTGACAATATGATATGAAGATTGAGCCTCTCCTAATTCTCTAATACCAGAAACACACCCTGTATCTTGCTGGCAGAAGGGGGTCAGCTATTTTAAGAGATGAAATATCTGGTTCTATACCCAAGACACCAGTAAGAAGTAATTTCCTACTCTTTTCTTGACTGGAGATTTATATTTTATCCGTCATTTCTGTAGAAAGAAGAATGTGTTTTTAGACAACTATTTGGTTGCCTAAATAAATGATGAAAGGCTTTAAATAATGAGATCTTCATAATCAGTTATACATTCTGACAGTTTTTGGTTTTTATTCTGAAAACCAGAAAAGATTGTGGCAGTACCTCATAAAGACGATGCCTTCAGCTGAAGTCCCTCTTTGCAGCTTGATCAATGCCAGATTGGTAGTTTCAAAGTTTTGGTGGTTATTGCCTCAGAAAAACAAGTGTTCAGAACATTTTGATTCCATGGTAGGGATATCAGGTTAGTGGGAAATTGAGGAAGTAATTTTTGTTGCTACTTGGAAGCATGTAATAGAATCACAGAATATCTCAAGTTGGAAAGGATCAGTTGGAATGCACAAGGGTCACTGCATCCAAATCCTAAGGACTCCTGTCAGTATAGCTGTGGTTATAAAATGATGCAAGGGGCAATGCTGCAGTTTGCACTGTTTGTATATGTAACCACTATTACAATGACATAGTTAAACCTATGTAATTCCTGTAAAATGCCATTGAGTAGTAGTGGATGATAGCCAAAGAACAAGGAAGCTAAATTTTCCATGACAGTGCTCC